ATACGGGACTCGCTCGTGTTTTATTTTCCGCCAGCCTCGTTGTGCCCCTTTGCGTCCATCCAGTGTCACTTTGTTTGGGAACGTTCCTGTTTATCGATAAATGCAGCGAACTGGCGCGCGCCGTGCGTCAGTGCCGGCCTTTGGACGACATGCCTCAGCGTCAGTGTCGTGGGCTTTGCCAGCTCCCTCCGTATCTCGGCGCCGTGGTGGCGATAACACCACACCGGCGCATGGCGCATGCTGGAAGACAAGCGTGGTCCGGCCCGTGCCGTCCTCCGGCAGCCCTGGTGCCGCCCTCCGACCGCTTCCGTGCCGCCGCCAGGTGACGTTCGAGGTGGAGGAGCTGCGCCGAGTGGTGGGTGGCATCAACACGCTGGTGGGTCAGAATGAGGGCTCGCTGGTGCTGAGCTGTCGCATGCCGAACCTGGTCGGCCGCGGTGAGCGGCTGCAGGGCGAGTACACGTACGGCACCAACCAGACGACCGGCATCAACGTGGCGCTGCTCAAGCCCTTCCACAACGCGGGCGCGCACCACGTGAGTGGCCGGCCGCGGCCGGCGGGGCGTGCCGATGGACGCCGGGCCGGTCCAGGCTCGGGCGCCGGCGCGCTGATGTTCGGAGTCCGGCGCGCCGGCGGACTAAAGCGCTCGAGGTCTGGCAGAGGTTCAGGGGGGGGGGGGGTGGTAGTGGTGCGGGGAGAAGCTGCACCAACATGGGGCGTCCGGGTCACCGGGCGTGCGCTTGTCGCAGTATCTAGCTCTGTGTAACCAGTTGGACTTCGGGCCTGCCGTGGTCCCTTCTAACCCTCAGCGTGCGCTGTCGCAGGCGTCCCGCCCTGTGTACTAGTCGGTCTCTGGGCCTGCCGCAGTTCCCTCTGTCACTCAGCGTGCGCTGTTGCGGTGTCCGGCTCTGTGTGCTGGTCGGACTCTGGCCTGCCGCAGTCCCTTCTAACACTCGGCGTGCGCCGTTGCAGCGTGACCGGCTCTGTGTACCAGTCGGGCGCCGACCTGCCGTGGTCGGGATTCCGCCAGGTGGACCCGCGGCGTGCTGCTGGACCTCGGCTTCCGCTCGGCCACGGACGTGAGTCAGCCGGCCGCCAGGTTCCCTCCCGCGCGTCAGCGGGCTGGCGCCGCCGGTGGGCCCCTGCTGCCACGGACGTGCGTCAGCCGGCGCCAGACTCCCTCCCGCGCCGTCAGCGGGCTGGCGCCGCCGGTGGCTCCCGCGGCCGTCATCAACTCGCCATCGCACCCAGCGACGAGACGAGACGAGCCGGCAGCGCCGGCGGGGCGCCGTACATGGCAATAATGTGTGCCGGGGGCTGGCTACGCGGGCGTGTCAGTGATGCCGGCTCGGCAGCTGCGTATGTGATCCAGCGATCTGTGGCTCGGTGCCGCCGGCGCTGGTACCGAAGACTCCTCTGCGGCCGGGCCGCTTGACCGGCTGCTGCTGCGCCGGTCGCCAGGTGACCCACTCGCTTGCGGTACGACGTGTCCCGCTGGCGCGAGCTGGCCTGTTCTGACGCGCCACGCCGTTCGACGTGCGCAAGGAAGGCCGGCCATTCGCTCAAGTCGGGCCGTTAAGCAAGTCCTCACTGACGGTCGATAATCGCGACTCATCCATCTTCCCGACGGAGGGCGCCCTGCTACGGTCAGTGACGGCGCCGGCTGGGCAGTCCGGACGGGGCTGGGCCGGGCGGGACCGGGAACATCGGGAGACCAGGGGGCGGGCATACCGGGAGGGCCTGGAGGCGGGCAGGGCCGGGAGGCGGGCTGACCGCTGGCGGCTCGCCACCTCTGCAGGTGTATGTCGTTGGGAACGCGTTTCGTTCCGGCCTATGGTCTGTGTAGAGCCAGCCTTTCGGTACGTCGTTGGCTGTCCTCCATACGGCCAGTTAGCCAGTGGTCTCCCTTGCATCGCTAGGCGTGTTGCGTGCGGCGTCACCACACTGCCGTTGGCCGGCTGTGTGTCGGTCGGTCGTGGGACGGTGCCGGACGGGCCGACACCGGCGTCCGTTGGCTTCCGCTTCGCTCGACGCTCCGCCACCGGAGGAGCGCCCGCTAACCCGCCGCCGCTCCTCCGGCAGGCTGAACCAAGAGCTGGCTGGCCTCGGCGGCAACGTCGGCTTCCTCAAGCACGAAGCTGAGCTGCAGTATAACTTGCCTCTACCGTTCGACGTTGTAAGGCCCGGGCAGGCGGCCGCTCCGGCGGCTCGGCGCAGCCCTGTCTCGAGACGCGCCCGAGTGGCACGCCTTTAGGAACTGCAGATTGTCGAGGGAATGGAACTATGAGTCACCTCGCTTTGCTCACTGCATCAGCTTGGCCCACAGTCCCCCGGGCTTTGATGGAACGCCTCCCCCCGTTCCGGTTGGCGCTTGTCCCTGCTCTGGAGAGAGCTGCACAGCACGGCTGGTGTGCATACAGCGTCACCTGGCCGCCATCGGTCGCGAACCAGCGCCCCGAGACGTGACCGTCACCGAGTGTCATCCCGTGCCGCCAGACGCTTCAGGGCTCTCTGCTGGCGGCCACATGAAGCCCATGTACCCGAGAAGACGTACAGCATCTGCGACCCGCTTCTTCCTGGGCGGGCCGCTGAACGGCGCGGCTTCGAGACGCGCGGCATCGGCCCGCAGTCGGACGGCGCCTTCACCGGGGCCGACGTGAGTGAACCGGCGGCGGCGGCGGCGGCGCGGCGGGGGGGGGGGGGGGGGCGGCGGCGAGGCGGGAGGCGTCCCGCCACGCACCGGGCGCCGGGCGGGCGGCGGGCCGGTGGGACGGGACGGGGCGGCGTCTGGCCGCTGGTGAAGGCTCCGACTCGGCGCTACGGCTGTGCCGTGTGTCAGGCGGGGCCTCGCCGCTCCTCGCTCTGGCCGAGGCCCGGCTGTCTGCGGGCGGCGGCGCAGTGCTGTAGTCCGGCCGCCGGTCGCGCCGCCCGGACCGCGTGCAGCCTGTTGACCAGTTGTCCGCGCGCCGCGCTCACAGTCGGCCCGGTTTCAGATGTACTGGGCGGCGGCGCTGCACCTATACACGCCGCTGCCGTTCCGGAGGACGAAGGGTGGCTTCGGCGAGCTGTTCCGAACCCACCTGTTCGTCAACACGGGTAACATCGGTAACTTCAGACTCGGTGAGCGCGCATCACGCCAGCCACAGCGTATTGTCACGTCTGGTGTTTTGTTCCTAATTGATTGTATGTGGGCGAACCCGAATAAACTCCGGGCGTTTAATACCCACAGTAAGCAGATGAAGGGACGGCAAAAAGTCGTGAGGATAAAGACAGTCATTCAAAAACAAACACACTGGAACACACATGTAGGCAATTCCGGAACATCCGGACAATCCCGAAAAACCCATGGTTAGCAGACAAATGGGCGGCTAAAAGGCCGTGAGGATCGTAAATAGGTCACGGCACCTTCAGATGAAAAACGTTGTTTTCTCCATCTCAGTACGCGAGCGGGGTATAAACAGATCACTGTCCTCTGTCTCGTGGGTCGACCACTCACTAGCGCGGAGCACACGAGCCAGTGAGTCGAACCAGGCCGTCAGGCCCGTCTCGCCCCGTAGGCGGCCTCAGGCACCGCGCTCAGGAGAGGGACGGCTGATTTCTCTGCAGCGTACACTTCGCTGTACTGTTCAACATCCTCGTCATCTGACGCTAGCGTCAAAGAATGGACAGGCCTTCATCGGGGCTGCCTGCTTGAGACCAGTGCAAGAGAAGCCAAATGACCCAAATCATCCGTTCTGCGGGGCTGGTGGCCCTTGGTCCCCCCTGACATGGCGCCCCTGCGGAACGCAGCTCGCCGTCGGTCTAATGACAGCGACGGGCCATTTCCGCTACCCGTCTGCCCCGGCCAGGTTGTTAAGTAAATTACTCGAGTCCAGGGAAAATTAACATGAGAACACGCGCGGTTATTTTGCTATACGCTTCCAATGCCGTTCAGGCTACCTTCAGTAATTGCAGCCCGTTGTTTATGGTGACGATGCTCCATAGCCTGCTCGGCCCCTTGAGACACAACTAATTTCCCTTTTGGACGATGATGACCTTTTGCCGACCGGCTCAAACGCTTCTCTTAATTGGGATCGATGTTGGAGCAATGACAGCGTCCGCGTCGTCTTCAAATGCTCCAAGTACTCAATCTCCCGAGTGCCATTTGTTTGTCCGGGGTCATTACTCGGGTGCGAGCACCGAGGAGCCGTCCGCGGGGTCGACAATGGCGCTGTGTCCCGCCTCCGTGGCACCGCGTCACATGACTGATAACTCAGGTCGTTCGCGTGCCGCGTGACGCACACTCGGGGCGCTGCGGTACTGAACTGTATGGTGCGTTCTGGCAATGTGTTTCAACGGTCCCGGCGCGGCGGACAGGCGGCGAGCGCGGCCGACGGCACGCGAGCGCGGTCGATCGCAGCCCGGGTCTGTGGCGACGCCCGCCCAGACGGCGCGGTGTGACGGTGCTCCGGCACGAGGCTCACGCCGGACGTTTGTGCGGCGATGCTTAACGGGGTCCATCTGCGTACCGGCCCGCCACTCTCGCACGGAGTAGGGTTTGCCTGCGTGCGTCTTGTCCCGTTCTCGCCACTGTCAGCCGTCGTCATCCAGCCCTGACCACGGCCGGCCAGTCACCTCTGGCTCTCTGTGACGTCACGCCGGTAGCCCCCGCGTGACGCCACGGTCGGCGAGCGCGGGCCACGGTCCGCGCGTGAAGCACACACCGCTGACGCCGCCCCCTGTCGCAGGCGACGACGCGGCCAAGAACGCCGAGCTGCTGATGAGCGGGCTCAGGCTGGCGTACGGCGCCGGCCTCTCCATGCGGCTAGGCGAGATCGCACGGCTCGAGCTCAACTACTGTCTGCCGGTGCGCGCGCAGCGCGGCGACCGGCCCGTACATGGCCTGCAGTTCGGCGTCGGCGTCACGTTTCTGTAGCGGCGGGCCGCTGTAGCGGGCGGCGCCGCCCCACCCCCGCCCACCCCCCGCCAGCGGCGCCCCCTGTCGACCGGTGTTGCAATACATGTATTTACCGTACGAGCTGGTGTTGCGGGGCGCCGGGGACGGTGTGCGGTGTTCGGGGGCTGTCGTGACGACACGTTAAGCGCAGGCGGAAAGGCGTCCTTTCCAACGCGACCGCCTTCCCTACTGGCTTGACGATGTAGAGACGAAGCTCTTTAACATAGGTATGGACATTTGGGTCCATCTGGGACCAGATCGTCGTACTCCGTTCGCCGCCAGACGGTCTTTAAGAGCTCGACAGCGTAGATCAGCGTGTGATGGGCTGCAGGTGTAATACACTTATCATTGCTTAGGACATCGAATTGGAATCGTTTCAGTGGCATGTATGTACAACCAGTTCGCAAAAAACTCTATCGCGTAACCCACGGGCTCCAGCTGATGTCCAAATTAGTTGCTGCAGCGCGTTCTTTGCGAGGACTGGGGCAGTAATGAACAAATGACTCCCGCTGGTACTAGTCGCCTCTGTGTGCAGCTGCGGAATCCAGGCATATTAACGCTATGCAATCTGTGCGGGCAATATTTACC